TATTTTTACAAAAATACACAGTTTACAAAAATTTATAGGTTTTCTCCATGTTGCCCAGGCAGGTCAGAAAATAACTTTTATCGGCTGGGCGCAGTGGCTCACCCCTATAATCCCAGCACTTTGGAAGGCCGAAGCAGATCACCTGAGGTCAGGAGTTTGAGACCAGCCTGACCAACATGGCAAAACTCCATCTCTACTAAAAATACAAAAATTAGCTGGGCGTGCTGGCGGGCGCCTGTAATCGCAGCTACCTGGAGGCTGAGGCACGAGAATCGCTTGAACCTGGGAGGCAAAGGTTACAGTGGGCCAAGATCGCACTATTACACTCCAGTCTGGGCGGCAAAGTGAGACTCTGTCTCAAAAAAAAGAAAAAAAAGAAAAAAAAAAAGAAAACTTTTTTTTTTTTTTTTGAGACAGAGTCTTGCTCTGCCGCTGGGGCTGGAGTGCAGTGGCCGGATCTCAGCTCACTGCAAGCTCTGCCTCCCGAGTTTACGCCATTCTCCTGCCTCAGCCTCCCGAGTAGCTGGGACTACAGGCACCCGCCACCTCGCCCGGCTAGTTTTTTGTATTTTTAGTAGAGACGGGGTTTCACTGTGTTAGCCAGGATGGTCTCGATCTCCTGACCTCGTGATCCGCCCGTCTCAGCCTCCCAAAGTGCTGGGATTACAGGCTTGAGCCACCGCGCCCGGCCAAAAAAAGAAAACTTTTATCTCCAAGTTCTGCCCAGCGCGGTGGCTCACGCCTGTAATCCCAGCACTCTGGGAGGCCGAGGCGGGTGGATCACAAGGTCAGGAGATCGAGACCATCCTGGCTAACAGGCGTGGCGGCAGGCGCCTGTAGTCCCAGCTAATCGGGAGGCTGAGGCAGGAGAATGGCATGAACCCGGGAGGCGGAGCTTGCACGAGCTGAGATGGCGCCACCGCACTCCAGCCTGGGCGACAGAGCAAGACTCCGTCTCAAAAAAAAAAAGAATCCAAGTTCTTTTAAATGATCAGGGCCCAATGAGATATTAAAATGAGATCGTAATCACTTCCTACTCCCCCTTTTTGAGCTATGACTCATCTATCAAAACTGCTTGCTATTGCCACAAGTGGGTAAGAATTAATCTAATAATGCCCTACCTGACGCTATATCCTACATCCTATAGCTTAACAATGTACAGCCAATCACTAACCAATGTTATTTCTGTAAATCAATGAGAACTCTTTTTTTTTTTTTGAGACGGAGTCTCGCCCTGTCGCTGAGGCTGGAGTGCAGTGGCGCGACCTCGGCTCACTGCAAGCTCCGCCCCCCGGGTTCACGCCATTCTCCTGCCTCAGCCTCCTGAGTAGCTGGGACTACAGGCGCCCGCCACCGCGCCCGGCTAGTTTTTTGTATTTTTAGTAGAGACGGGGTTTCACTGTGTTAGCCAGGATGGTCTCGATCTCCTGACCTTGTGATCCGCCCGCCTCGGCCTCCCAAAGTGCTGGGATTACAGGCGTGAGCCACCGCGCTCGGCCGAGAATTCTTGATAAACGACTTTGTATGAGTCCCACTCCCTGTCCACATTTTTTGCCTTTAAAAATCAAGTAAACTCTTTAAATCATATTTTGTGTGTTAGCCTCTTCCTTGTAGATCAACACTTCTATAAAATACTGTAAAAAGAAATATTACCAACTGGGTGTGGTGGCTCACACCTGGAATCCCAACACTTTGGGAGGCCGAGGCTGGTGGATCACCTGAGGTCAGGAGTTCAAAACCAGCCTGGCCAACACGGTGAAACTCTGTCTCTACTGAAAATACAAAAAAATTAGCTGGGTATGGAAGCTCCCTCCTGTAATCACAGCTACTTAGGAGGCTGAGGCTCGAGAATCACTTGAATCTGGGACAGGGAGGCTGCAGTGAGCTGAGATCATGCCACCACACTCTAGCATGGGCGACAGAGTGGGATTCCGTCTGCACTCCAGCCTGGGTAACGGTGAGACTGCGTCTCAAAAAAAAAAAAAAAAAAAAAAAAAAAATTAAGAAGATCTATAAGAGAAAATTTCTCAAATCTTGGGTTAAGATAAAGAGTTATTAGATATGACACTACAAGCACAATACATAGGATAAAAAACTGATAAATTTAATTTCATCAAAACTTAAAACTTTTGTGCTTCAAAAGGCACTGTTTAGAAAATGAAAACACAAGTCAGTCGGGGGGAATCTTTGGAAACCGTATCTATAATAAAAGACTTGTACCCAGAACACACAGACAACTCTTACAACTCAGTAGAAGACAAACAGCCCAATTACAAAATAGGCAAATGATATCAATAGATATTTCACCAAAGATCTACAAATGGGTAGTTAGCCCATGAAAAGGTGCTCAGTATTATCAGTCTTTAGGAAACCACAATGAGATATCACTACATGCCCACTAGAATGCCTATAATCAAAAAAGACAAGTGTTGTCAAGGTTATAGAAAAAGCAAAACCCTCATACATTGAAGGCAGAAATATAAAAGGTGAAGCCATTTTGGAAAAGTTTGGCAGTTCTTCAAAATGTTAGAGTTACGATATGACCCAGCAATTCCATTCTTAGGGATATACTCAAGAAATGAAACGTATGTTCACACAAAAACTTGGGCATGAATGTTCGCAGCAGCACTATTCACAAAAACTCCAAACTGGAAACAATCCAAATGTCTAGAAATAATGAACAGATTAATAGAATGTGTTATATTCATTCAATGGAATTCTATTTAGCAATAAAAATGAAGTACTAATACACACCATGACTTGGCTGACCTTCAAAAACATGCCGAGAGAAGCCAAACTCAAAAGACTACCCAAGACAGAAAACAGATCACTGGTTGCCTAGGGCAGGAGGTGGGAGTGGGGATTTAATATAAGTAAGCTCAAAGGAACTAATTGGGGTGATGGAAATGTTCTAAAACTGGACTGTGGTAATGGCTATACAACTGTACATTGGCTAACAATCATTGGCGATATGCTTACAATGGGCGACTTGTATGGTATATAAACTGTAACTCAATGAAGGTGCTAAGAGAAGAAAAAGAGTGAGTAGAACTTAATGTTGCAGGTGTCTACTTAGATTTCATATAAATGTGCGAGAAGTGAGGAGAACAGGGAAATGAAATGGGTCGTAACAGTGCCACTGTACACTCACATACACATAGCAGACAGTTCACTTTTTAGAGCACAGTGGTTTTCTGCTTCAAGATCTAGGGCAAAGGTCACCTTTTGTGCACCTCCAACTCTTAAAACATTCCTCAGCACTGCATCCTTTACATTACACTGGAACTGTTTTAGTGTCTGCTTCCTGGACTAGACTGCAAGCCTTTCCAGGGAAAGGGCAATATCTTTCTCTGATACTCCAGCTCTGAAGCTCAACCAATTCTGGGTCGAGAGCAGACATCTGTGAATGTTTGTCAAATTAATGAAAGGAAAATTGGGGTAGAGCAAGGAAACTACCAAACAAGTTTGAAAGTAGGAGAGCCGGGTGTGGTGGCTCATGCCTGTGATCCCAGCACTTTGGGAGGTCAAGGAAGGCAGATCACTTGAGGTCAGGAGTTCGAGAACAGCCTGGCCAACATGGTCAAACCCCATCTCTACTAAAAATACAAAAATCAGCTGAGCATGATGGTGGTCACCTGTAATCCCAGCTACTCCGGGGGCTGGGGCAGCATAGAACTGCTTGAACCTGGGAGGCAGAGGTTGCGGTGGGATTGTGCCACTGCACTCCAACCTGGGTGACAGAGGGAGACTCTCTCAAAAAAAAAAAAAAAAAAAAAAAGAAAAAGGAGAGAGGGTCCCAGAAATGGTATGTGTGTATATATTTATATATACACATATATGTAAATATACACACACATATACACATACACACACATACCATTTCTGGGGCCCTGCCTTTCTTTTTAATATATATATATATAAACTTAGGAGACAGGCTAGACTTGTTTTTAAATTGGAGAATTATATACCAGGGTATAGGTCTGTGTATCACCCCTAATTTAAACATATGTTCCTTAGATATGGTCCAAATTTCAATTTTATCCAGGGCAGTCAGTTGACAAATAGCATATTAAACTTTCCATGACAAGTCTGCTCAGCAAGCAAACAAATCACTGGAGAAATCTGATTTCCCTCCAGATACCTGACAGGGTTAGCAGAGAAGCCCAGATAGAGTTCTTGGACACTTGGGTTAGCATTAAGCAGCTGGCTCTGTAAAGGACGGTGAAGGGAGTCACACAAGAAGGTCAGAACAGCTCTTTCCCATCCTTCTCTTTCTTTCATCCCATCTTACCCAGTCTCAGGTCAAGTGCGCAGCAAGCTGGCACACTTCGGCCCAGAAGTGACCCCTGACGTGGCTTTGCTTATACTGTTCTCAGCAACTTTGGGTCAAGTGTAGAACACAAAGAAGTTGGAGTCAAAGCGAACCCAGACCAGTTTCTCAGTCTCCTTGTCCCCACCTTAGAATAAGGAACCCAGCAAGTAGAAGCCAGAGAGCTAAAAACGGGTAAGCCACGGCTCAGTCACCAAGACCAGGAGGAACCCGGGGGTAAGGAGAAGGCCTTCCAGAGCCCTCGGAAGTGTGAGGCCTGACAGAAGGGAGGCAAGAGGCTCTACGAGGAAATCTGGAGATTGGGACGATGAGGAGTCAAGGAGTGGCGAGGGGCACTCGGCCTGAATTACGGGGATGGCAAAGACTGTGGGTCTCCGACAAGCATAGGGATGACGATCTTCGAATTAGGGAAAAACTGCGCTGTGGTGACTGATGAAGGAGGAGGGGAAAAGCTCTGGGCCTGAGCGTGAGCGGCCGTGATCACCCTCAGCGCGCTGGGGGCCCGATTCTTGGGGTGCCCGCGCCTGAATGGGGAGCACAAGTCTGGGGGTCCCGGAGCGCAGCACGCAAGGAGGCGGGCCAGGGGGGTGTGACCGCAGGCGCTTCCGCAGCTCCCCGCGAGCCGCGCAGGCGGGTGAGGGGCTTCCTGCCTCCAAAGCCCCCGACTCACCTTCCTCCCTACCCACCGGCTGGGCACCGGACACGGCTTCCCACAGGCGGCGCGCCCTCTCGCGGTCAAAGCGCACCCCATCCGGCTCCTGGCCCTCTAGCTCCTCCGAGCTGTTGTAACGCCCGGCCCCTCCGCCGTCTGCGGCCTCCACTGTGGCCGGCGCGGGATACGCCATTTTCCCCGCAAACCCTCGCCGGTGGAGAGCCGCTCAGGCGCCTAAGTATCGCGAGATTGGGGGAGTGGTACTTGGTCCGGCCAACAAATCTCGCGAGGTTTGGGCGCTGCCGTGCGGTACCTGGCGCTTATTTTGCTTTGCTACCTCTGGTACCCCCAGCGTGTGGTGTGGATTCGGAAACCTGTCGCTGATTCCGCAGCAGTGACACCCCCTCCCGGAGAGGCTAGTGCGGTTTTGGCTCAGGACTCTCACCTTCCTCACGGTCAGCCCTTGATACTTTTCATTTCGTTCTCAAGGTTCCGTTATGTGGGAGTGTTTTCGCCATTTCATTTACAGGGAAACTGAGGCCCAGAACCTAGAAATGGTTAACTCAACAGTTCGCTGCTAGTAAGTAGTAGTACAGCTGAGGTTCCGTATTACTAATAATAGATTCTACTTGTTGAGTTCCAAGTGCCGGCTCCCAGCTCTGATTTTCCCTGAGACTCCGGACCTGTACACATCCAGTTGCCTCTTCCACAGTTCACTCGAATGGCTAATAGGCTTCTCCAATGTAGCTGTCAGACCCCAAATTTTATTTTCCAACCCCAGAGCTGCTCCTTCCCGTGTCTTTGGGAGCCATCATCTCTTGCCTAGGTTATTGTAGTAGCCACCTCATTGGTATTCACAGCACAGCAGTCCCAGGGATCCTCTTATGACAAGTCAGATCATGACACTTAGGTTCTCAAATCCTCCAACAGCTTCCCATCTCACTGTTAGTAAAAGCCAAAGTCCTTACTTTGACCAACAAGGCCCTGTACAATCTGACTTCACTTAACCTCCCTGATCCTGATGTATCACTCAGTCTCCAACTCCTTAATTCCTGTCCCGGTTACACAGGCCTCCTGGGGTGCATTTCTCCCATATATCTTCATGGCTCAGTCTCCCACTTCCTTCTCTGGCTACTGTATCTAAAATACCTTCTCTGGCTATCATCTAAAATGTTACTTTTCCACACATACTTCATGTCCTCCTTTCCTGCTTTATTTCATATATATTTTACTTTTTATCTTGTTTATTGTCTGTCTACCTACTAGAAGGCAAGCCCCAGGAAGGCAGGGATTTTTGTCTATTTTCTTTTCTTTTTCTTTTTTTTTTTTGAGACGGAGTTTTGCTCTGTCGCCACGTTGGAGTGCAGTGATGCGATCTCGGCTCACTGCAACTTCCGCCTCCCGGGTTCAAGCAATTCTCCTGCTTCAGCCTCCCGTGTAGCTGGGATTACAGGTACATGCCACTGCATCCAGCTAATTTTTGTATTTTTGGTAAAGACAGGGTTTCACTATGTTAGCTAGGCTGATCTCGAACTCCTGACCTCGTAATCGTCCCACCTCAGCCTCCCGAAGTGCTGGGATTACAGGCACATGTCACCGCGCCCAGCCTTTTGTCTCTTTTCATTGTACCTGAATCTCCAGCACTTTGAAATAGAACCTGGACCCTCCTAGGTACATACAAAATATTTGTTTAATGAATGAAGTTTTTAATATTACTAGCTTATTTCAACCTTATTTGTTCAAATACGGAGAATTTACTATGAGCTAGATGATATTTTGAGCATGGAAATATAGTAGTGAACAAGACAGGGAAACTCTAGTATTTTTTATTGTAGTGGAGGAGACTACAATAAAAAAGTTAACAGTAGGCCGGGCGCGGTGGCTCACGCCTGTAATCCCAGCACTTTGGGAGGCCAAGGCAGGCGGATCATGAGGTCAGGAGATCGAGACCATCCTGGCTAACACGGTGAAACCTTATCCTTACTAAAAATACAGAAAAATTAGCCAGGCGTGGTGGCAGGCGCCTGTAGTCCCAGCTACTCGGGAGGCTGAGGGAGGAAAATGGCATGAACCCGCGAGGCGGAGCTTGCAGTGAGCCGAGATCGCACCACTGCACTCCATCCTGGGCAACAGAGTGAGACTCTGTCTCAAAAAAAGAAAAAAAAAAAAAGGTTAACAGTAATAAGTGCTAAGGAGAAGATAAAACAGGAATATATCTCAGGTGAATGATGTGTTAGGAACATTAGTCAGGGTGGTGTCAGGGGAAGCCTCTGGGAAAATGACATTTGAGCTAAGACCTGATTAATGAGAAGGGGTAGCCATGCAAAAAGCTGGGCAAGAGTGTTCTAGCAGAGAGAACAGCAGGTGCAAAGGCCCTGAGGCAGGAGAGAGCTTGATGTGTTGGAGGAACAGGAAAAAGGAAAGCATGGCTGGAGCCCAGTGAACAAGGGGGAAAGTAGTATCAGACGAGGCCAAAGAGAGACAGATATGAATTATTTTTGCTTGAGATCATATAGCTCATTGGTGTAATTTAGTCATTTATACTACAAGTATTTCCTTATTCATTCTACAAATACTGAGCACCAGCTCTATATCAGGCCTCAGGTCTCAGAGCTTCCAATTTTCCAATACAGTACGTGACTGATGTTTGGCCAATGCTTTACAACTTTTTTGTTTTGTTTTGTTTTATAGATAGAGTCTCTGTTGCCCAGGCTGGAGTGCAGTGGCACGATCACAGTTCACTGCAACCTCCACCTCCTGGGTTCAAGCGATTCTCCTGCCTCAGCCTCCTGAGTAGCTGGGATTACAGGCATCCATCACCATACCCGGCTATTTTTTGTATTTTTAGTAGAGACGGGGTTTCACCTTGTTGGCCAGGCTGGTTGTGAACTCCTGGCCTCAGGTGATCCGCCTGCGTCGACCTCCTGAAGTGCTGGGAATACAGGCATGAGCTACCACACCCAGCCTGCAATTTTTTTTTTTTTTTTTTTTTTTTTTTGAGACAGGGTTTCACTAGTGCAGTGGTATGATCATAGCTCACTGTAACCTTGAACTCCCACCCTCAAGTGTTCCTCAGCCTCCTGAGTAGCAAGGACTACAGGTGGACACCACCTTGCCCAGAATTAAAAATTTTTTTTTTTTGTAGAGACAGGGGTTTCCCTATATTGCCTAGGATGGTCTCAAACTCCTGAGCTCAAGTGATCCTCCTGCCTCAGCCTCCCAAAGTGCTGGGATTCCTGGTGTTAACCACACACTTAGCCCAGGGCAGTGCTTTACAGTTTGCAAAGCGCCTACATTATAGCATTTAATCCTCAGCGTGGTTTCTGTTAGGGATTTCTTCGTAAGTGATGATAAAGAAACAGACTAGGAAAGGTAAAGGTTTTGTCAAGATCACACAGCTAGTTAGGTACAGAGCCCATGCTCGAACACTAGTCCTTAGATTGCAAATCTATGTCCTTTTGCCAACACCAGATGACCAGCCTAAAAGCCAGTGACTGCACATTACTTATTCTCTTTTTATTTATTTATTTGCTTTTAGAGACAGGGTTTCACTATGTTAGCCAGGGTGGTCACAAACTACTCATTTATCTTTTTTTTTTTTTTTTTTTTGAGGCGGAGTCTTCACTCTGTCGCCCAGGCTGGAGTGCAGTGGCACCATCTCGGCTCACTGCAAGCTCCGCCTCCCGGGTTCGCGCCATTCTCCTGCCTCAGCCTCCCGAGTAGCTGGGACTACAGGCGCCCGCCACCGCGCCCGGCTAATTTTTTTTTTTTTTTGTATTTTTAGTAGAGACGGGGTTTCACCGTGTTAGCCAGGATGGTCTCGATCTACTGACCTCGTGATCCGCCCGCCTCGGCCTCCCAAAGTGCAGGGATTACAGGCGTGAGCCACTGCGCCCGGCCTCATTTATCTTAAAGAAGAGTTCTGGTTACTCATACTTGCATAGCATAAGTTATTCAGGGATAATCCAAGGGATAGAGGGGATTTTTGTTGAAGTGGCAGAACCCACAAGGATATTTTTGAATACTATGTAACAAATCCTGGGAGTGGAGTATATAAGTTGCTTTGCATATTATTGGAAAACAACCCCTCCACCCCCACCACTCCCAATCCAATTACATGCTCAAAATAATGTCCATTTATTCTCCAATGAGTGCTGTCAGGGTTCATCCCCTGTGCCATAGAGGCAGAGTCCTGAGCTACCCTGCTGAGGGTCTGAACAGCCCTCATTGTCACCAGTTTTCTATTTTGTCTTTGTGTGAGTGCTTCTAAGAACGGCCCAGGCCTGGACTCCTTGCTGGGACCTGGCAGTGCAGGTGATGCCTTATATTTGTTGGGCTGGCTTTTTATTTCCTCCTTGTGGAAAATGAGAACTATTTTCCAACACATCCTACTGTGTATTGTTGCCATGGGAGATGAACAATCCCAGGGAAATGGCTTTGCTAAGGGACAGGAACTAGCTACAGTTCAGCATACATTTCAGTTGCTTAAATACTGACTGTGTGTGTGCATGTGCAAATTAAACTATAGGGCTTAAGATATAGTTCTTACTCTCAAAGAGATTAAACTATAGTTTTTCTTTCTTTTCTTTTCTTTTTTTTTTTTTTGAGATAGAGTCTCACTCTTGTCACCCAGGCTGGAGTGCAATGGTGTGATCTCGGCTCACTGCAACCTCCGCTTCCCAGGATAAAAAAATTCTCCTGCCTCAGCCTCCCAAGTAGTTAGGACTACAGGCATGCACCACCACGCCAAGCTAATTTTTGTCTGTTTATTAGAGACGGGGTTTTACCGTGTTGGCCAGGCTGATCTCAAACTCCTGATCTCATGTGATCTGCCCACCTTGGCCTCCCAAAGTGCTGGGATTACCGGTGTGAGCCACCACGCCCGGCCTCAAACTCTAGTTTTTCTAACTCTAGTATGTCTAATCTAGTGATAGACATAAAAGTATCTACTGAGTATGTAATATCAGAGAGTATGTTTTAACTGCTATAACAGAGATAGAGATTAGGCTGGGCATGGTGGCTCATACCTGTAATCCCAGCACTTTGGAAGGCTGAGGTGGGAGGACTGCTTGACCCCAGGAGTTCAAGACCATGATGGGCAATGTGGCAAGACCCTATCTCTACAAAATTAAAAAAAATTAGCTGGGTATGGTGGTGTGTGCCTTTGGTCCCAGCTACTCAGGAGGCTGAGGTGAGAGGATCGCTTGAGACTGCAATGAGCTGTTGTACCACTACACTACTGCCTGGGTGACACAGCAAGATTCTGTCTTCGA